CAGGTTGTTACCTCGACCCAGCCCCACTCTCGACTTCTGGTCGGGATGGCGGTTGGTACGGGCACGGACAGCCCTGCGGGAGGGTCAGGGGCGGGATGTCGGGKGGTGGCGGCTGCCCTCGGCCTGCGTACCCCCGCTCCTTCCTGTCTCAGCTTTGTCCAGACCTCGTTTCCATCCCGGCCTCGACCTCGGCTTCGTGCGGAGCTTGTGGCTTGTTTGGGGAACGAGGGTCGTGGTGCAGGCTAGGGGCGGGGTGTGTTGTGGGGTTCTCGGCCCCTCCCCGTTTCATCCTGCCCTCCTACCCAACGGGGTTCTTCTTTCCGGACAGATCGGCGTCCTCGACACTGTCGAGCTGGTCTGAGTCTCGGGGTGGAGGGCCGTTGGCGGAGGGTTTTGGTCGTGAACGGGGTGGTGTCGGGTTGGGGGCAGGGGGAGGAGACAGCGCTTGCACATGGGTCAGTCGGCCCTAAGAGATGTGGAAACCTTGTATCAAGGGCGCACTGCGCGCCGCACATCGAAAGGGGGTCCGGTGAATATTCCCGAACCAGGTTGTGGAGGTGGACGGTAATGTAAGCAGCTCCGGAGATGCCGGCGGGGGCCGTGGGGAGGGTTCTCTTTCCTTCTTGACGGCTCGCCCACCCTGGAATCGGATCAACCGGAGATAGGGTGAAGCGCCCGACAAAGCACCACGCGTCCTGTGGTGTCCAGCGCGCCCCCGACAGCCCTTGAAAATCTGGGCGGCGGGTACCTCTCACGCCCGGCCGTACTCATAACCGCATCAGGTCTCCTAGGTGAGCAGCCTCTGGTCAAAGGAAGAATGTAGATAAGGGAAGTCGGCAATATGGATCCGTAACCTCGGAAAAAGGATTGGCTCTGAGGGATGGGCCTAGGGGTCTGCGCCTGGATGTCGTTCGTTGCCGGTGGTCTGCCCGAGCTGCTCTCGCGGCGAGGGCGGAGCCCGCGTGCCAGTGTGCCGACGGGCGTAGAATGTCTTATGTCCCCACCTTTCGGGTGGGGCCGTGGG